CTGACAGGTCCACCCATGGAATGAATTGCAAGCCATGCATGGCTAGCTGACATTTTAATCACTCAAGTTCACTATCCAGGTACCTCACTGGGGCCGTTTTTGGGTGCAAGGGCTGCCAACCCAGTGCTGCAGATGGTTCCTTTCCAGCTGCTCTTCTATTGTTCTCTTGTTGTGATATCACTCCTCTTCTAGATCCTGAGAGAACCCCATCCATGGACAGCCAATAGGAAGTGACTATGCCACACATGCAGTGATATGGCACCTGAAGAAGGACCTCAACCCGCTCTCTATTTCTCCCTGATGTAAAAATATGAGGAGAAAAAGCTCTAGACTGCAGCGCCATGTGAATAAACCTTTTAGTAAGCTTCTTGAAAATATTCACTAGCTGTACCACAATGCAATCAGATTCACAGTGATAGCACACATCCAATCAACTTGCATTAGATCGATGCAACTAAAAAAAGTTCAATTTAAGTTTTCAGCCAATACACTCCATATAGAGGCTGTGAAGCTTCTAATTATTATGTGATCCACTGGCGAGACAGCTGATTGGGTAAATCTTATGTGCAAGAACCACTGGTTAAAAGCACAACCTCCAAAAAAAAAAAAAAAGATACAGGTGGGTAACAGCATCCATAACATCCTTTGTTGTATTTTTCCCCCAATCATGGCGTCTGCTTTTCCCAGAAGCGCAGCACTATCTATCCAATATTGACTGAGCCTCAATTCACAATCAAAATCGTATGCCTCAACCACACGTTGAATGGGATGAGATTTGCATTCTGGAATTGGGTTATGTCAACTCCTCAACATGGATTCCCATATACTGACTGCAGCTCTCCTCTTGGTACAATACCTCTTGCGTACACAGGAAACATCTTCAGAAAATGATATACATGACTGCCATTTCACACTATGACGTGACTGAAAATTTGTAATACACACAGGTACAGATCATACCTAGACTTTTTATTTAATGCTGTATCAAATGGCAGCAGATCCAGCAGATGACAGCTCCGTGTCTGCTCACGTTATGCAGACCAGACACAGACTGAGCCCGCTCTGCTCTAAGGGCAGTTGGGTGTAAATGGACTCTGTTGTTTACACCTGGCTGCCCTCAAAACTTTTGTTTTGTTTTTTTTATAGCAGAATGGATTGGATGTAGGCAGGTGTAAACGCACAAGGAGTTTTACACCCGCTGGACTATAGGGGTGAGTGAGGGGTCCGAACAGGTCCACCATATAAAAGAAAAAAAAAAAAAAAAAACATTTACACGTGTTTCAATGCGTACAATTCTTAGAATGGCTAAGGGCTCATTTTGATGAGCGCTGAGATTCATCCTCCATGCTTAGCTGCTTTCGGCTGCATGTGCATACACTTCAGAGCTGCAGGCAGCCTATGGAAGAAGAGGCACCCGAAGCAGCTGCATGGACATAGTCCCATGTCAAAATCTGAAACATGGTCAGGAGTGGGTACACGGATCCATAAATCAGATACTGCGTATTCAGATCTGTGTACCCGCATGTCAATGTGTGGCATTGTCTATGGGCTGCTTGCGCACAGCTCTGAGGTGGATGCGCACAGCAAAAAGCTGCTTAGCAAAGGAGGACGGCTCTCAATTAGCACAATCCTCAATGCAGAACTGCTGGCAGATGTGAATGCATCATCCTCAGAACTGTGTGCAGGCAGTCCATAGGCGTGAATGCAAACGCAGCAACGGCATGGACACAATCACGTCAAAGTTTAAATGTGTACATAACGATCATTTATTTTCCCCCCTTTGTTTAGATTTAAAGGGTAACCCCACTTGCGTGAGAGAAAAAAAAAAATGTATGTTATTCAATTGCAACATGTCATAATGTAATAGAAGGTCATTAAAAATTACCTTTTTTATTTCAATCTGCAGCACTATAGTTTTCTATAAAATGCCGTGCTATGTGGAAGCCTGGAGGTGTTCTGTACACAGATGGTGTACAGAACGCCCCCCGGAAATGTAAATTCCTGCTTGTGTGATTGGCTTACTGATTTTCCCAGAAGTCTGCACTAAGATACAAGACAGATTTTGAGCATCCCCTGCAACAAAAATGTCATTTTAGTGAGAGATTCTCAAAGGGAAAAATCACATCTAAAAGGAATGCAGACCCTGCCACGTTCCTCATTAGAGACCTGCAGGTGCAGCAGCTGATTGAGAATTATAAAACCCCTCTGATAAAAAGATTCACTCAGCAGAAAGATGAACAAATCGCTATTTCTTCAGAACAAAAAGTAGGAATCTGCAACAAAGTTTGTTAAAATCCTTGCAATGTACATAGACCTCCCAAAGGGGAATGTTTCTCAACAAAAAAGGGGTTACTCTAATGTACACCCTTATAAATGCACATTCACACTTAAGTTCATGTTCTTAGATGCAGATTTTTGGATTCTGTGTTACAGATTTGAATGCAGTTCAGGTTTATACACCTGTGTGAATAGTTCAATTGAAAACAAGGTATCTGCACTTGAATATTCATTTAACAGCTGTCAGAATGAAGCCCAGTGCCCAGTTCACATATTGTGTAGTGGAAACAAGCGCTCCTGCTACAAAATTTTCAAAGAGCAATTCTCACACAATTGTGTGTGTCACATAGGGCCAGGCCATTCACTTGAATGGGCTACCTTATGCACGTTTGTTTTTCGGTGAGATTTTTAAAAGCTTGGTTGCCACAATTGTTTTGTGACAATCACATCAATGCCAAGGATAATGGCACCCAAACGCGCATACTGCATTGTGTAGCAACTGCAATGCAATTTGGAATTGAGGGCAGAATTGCAGCGATTCCAAATCACAAAGCGTGGAGTCTAAGAATTTAGATACCTGTGCGAATGAGTCTGGAGGGCTAGTTCACATCAAAAAAAGTCATCCAAATCAGTTTCTCCTTGAGGAGATTCCATATGCGTTCTAAGTGCTTTTTTCCTTCCCATTATTTTTTTCACTGTACTAGGGTCTGGTGTGTTTTTGATGTATGTAGGTGCATTTCACCACATACCAGTACAGTTCTGTGCAGGAAAAATGCAGCATGTTCTACATTTTTTTCCTGAAAAGAGAATGCACTAGAACTGCAAGAACTGGTGTGAACTGTATCATTGAAAACCTTGTAACCTACTTTTCATACGTCTGGAATGCAGAAAATAACATGTGGTGTGAATGAGCTTTTCACTGTTAGGTCAGTACGTTGTACGGGGAAAGGGGTTTATACACAATCCAGTGGCTGCAGCCACCGGGATTGTGTATAAAACTGACAGGCAGACTACTGTCAGGTGGATTTCTGTTACGTGGAAGGCGACATGTGTGACATCACTTCCAGGTCACCACTGTCACTGTCTCAGCTAGTACAGCCAAGAGGCAATGTGGAGTGGAGACCAGAGGAGGCACACAGGGAATTTTAGACCCTGCATGTGTTGATAGAGAACCTGTCACCTAAAAGTCATCACATAGCACATAACATTTGGGGCGCCCCCAACATATACATATATAAGAACGTAAACACGCACATCTGGGCGCCTTCACATGAAAATGATGATTGTGATACATATCGCCACACACACACACACCGGAGTCAGTGCAATAATTCTAGCACAACTGCTCCTCCATAACGCCAAACTGACGACCTGCAGGGGCTTTTAACCAATTCAATACCGGGCACTTATACCCTCTTCCTGCCCAGGCCAATTTTCAACTTTCAGCGCTGTCGCACTTTGAATGACAATTGTGCGGTCATGCAACACTGTACCCATATGACATTTTTATTTTTTTCACACAAATAAGCTTTCTTTTGGTGGTATTTAATCACCGCTCAGTTTTTTATTTTTTGCTATATAAAAAAAACCTGAAACTTTTGGGGAAAAAAAACAAAAAAAAAAAAAAAAACTTACTTTTCTTTGTTTCGGTTATAAAAATTTTGCAAATAACATTTCTTTATAAATTTAGGTCAAAATGTATTCTGCTACATTTGGTGAAAATAATAATAAAATGTTTTATTTTTTATTCAAAATGTTTCTATTTTTTATTAAATTCACTATTTTTTACTTTTTATTTTTCAGCACACTGTAACCAAATCAATACAATGTTACCATAGTAACATTGAACTATACTGGGCAAGTGATTTTTTTTTTAAAACACATTATGATTTCTAATACCAATGTATTTCACTGATATTTGCAATCATTGTTACTGAATGAAACTGATTCATTCAGTCTTTTGTGATTAGGCAAAGCTGATGATGATACAGACAGGCTGTGATTGGCCCTGTCTGTATCATGACTGCCTTGACCAGCTAACAACATAATTGTATATGATGGATGGCATGACAGGAAGCCATCCATTGTATACAATTGACATGTGATCTGCTGTGATTGGTCACAGCGGTCACATGACATGACAACAAGCCGGTGTAGTGATATGTCATCAGCAGTGTCCTGTGAACAGTCTGTGACAGATCGCAACTCTGTGTGGCCCCGTGAGCGACTTGTTTTGACAGGACGTCACATGAGGCCCAGTCACAACAGCGAATGTCCTGCCTGGCTGTCAATCTGCTATAGGCCAGGTGGGAAGGTGTGTTAAAGAATCGCCTATAGAAAATACTGAAAGTCTGTCACAATTTCATTGGCACACACAAATTTAAGGTTTGATATGCAGGGTACCTATTTACTCAGAGCAACCTTATCTTTTCTATTTTACCAAAAACTGGGCAATTTGTAGTTTTTGCCTGCCCTAAAATTCACTTACGTGTGTGTTTTTACTGAAATTTTACATTTCCTAGACCTTTGCAGTAATAATCGCGACACGTAAAAAATTGGAACTACCACTATTTAATTCTCTGGGGTGTCTGCTTTCAGAAAATATATCATGTTTTGGGGGTTTTGTGTAATCTTCAGGCCTAAAATGATTTTTTTTCAGTGCAAAGAAAATGCAGTAAAAGGGTTAAAAAGCCCCCCTTCCCCATACACAGTGTAATACTCACGGAGCTTCTTCCACATCGCATGGTGACAAGCCACAAAGCCCTTACGGATGGCGGCACACACTTCCTCCGGGTCCCGTGACATGAAGCCCTTCTGCTTCCTAATGAAGCCCCACAAGTGATCCCGGGCGAAGTGAGCGGCCTCCCGTCCGCCGTGTCCGTCAAACACCGAGAAGAAGGCCACAGACTGGCCGCTCCTCCCCGGGGCGCTCCGGCTGTGGGCTGGAGTCCGGCTCGGGGAGTCCTCTACTCCCTCCTGGTCGTCGTCGTCTTCCTCCTCTTCCTCCCAGGAAAGTTCTCCTTCCCCCGGCTCCGGCTCCACCAGCACCTGGGTGACATCCTCCATGTACTTCCTGCCGCCCTGGTCTGAGGAGACGCTCACCCTCAATATAAAATGACTCTCCATAGCCCCCTCCTTTGTTGCTGCGATAGCTGCCCTGTCCAACACACAAATGGAGCCGGCTTCCCCTCGGCGCTCGGATTAGAAATAGACCTGTCTGGGCTTCTTCTTCTCTTTCCTGCAGCTTCCCCCTCCTCCGCCGCCCGCGCTTCTTTATTGTTTATTTTCAACACCGCTCCGACCTGTCCAACAACCGACGTGACATCACGCAGCCCAATGGAAGACTCAGCTGTGCCGCACGCACACTCCTTTACCCGCCCCGACGCCGTGAGCATGCGCGTTGACGTCACGCGCGAGGGGAAGCCCCCGGCTCTGGGGAGCAGGCGGCCAGTGGGTTAGGGAGGGCGCGGGATGGGGCTTCTCGAACTTTCTGGGAAGGCGGCGAGGCGTCCATCTTTGTTGGTGGAGGACAGCCATGAATTGGCAGTGGGGACGGCTCCCCCTCTTCCAAAATAAAAAAAGACCCTCTCCAGTCACAATTGTCCACAGTTCCCAATGTGTAAAATAGGGGTCGGGTCAGCTGGGTGCTAAGTAGGTCACTTCAGCTTGGTTTAGTCAGCAGTGCCGTGCCTCAGGTCCTCCTTATGTTACACATAGGGTGAGCGTTCACAGTGCTGTCATGCATTGTTCATTAAATCTGAGTAATCCATATGATATACACAACAGGATGTTATTAATGCATGCAAACAGTCAAATAAAATGATTTCACGTTTGTTTTCTTTCCAGTTCTTGGTCTCCTTTTCCTAACCTCCACATATCCAGTGCTTACCTCCTTTTTTCGTGTCTTGTTTAGTCAGGAGTTCTGACATTCCAAACTCACATTTTTTTTTTTATTATTTATTCTGGTGACGTGTGTAGGCAGGTTGAAAAATATTCTAGTTACATAGTCTGGTTGAAAAAAAGACAAAAGTCCCATCCAGTTTATCCATAAAAAAAATAATTATCCCTATACCCACAGTGGATCCAGAGGAAGGCATAAAACCCAGCAAAGCATGAACCAATTTGCTCCTGTTGGGGAAAAAATTCCTTCCTGATCCCCGAGAGGCAATCGGATATTCCCTGGATCAGCTTTACCTATAAATGTTAGTATCCAGTTATATTCTGTGTATCTAAGAAAGAATCCAGGCCTTTTTTAAAGCAATCCATTGAGCTGGTAAGAACCAACTCTTGAGGAGTCTATTCCACATTTTCACAGCTCTTACTGTGAAGAAACCTTTCCGTGTTTGGAGATTAAATCTCTTTTCCTCCAGACGTAAAGAGTGCCCCTTGTCTTGTCCTCTGTGATGACCTCAAGATGAATAGCTCTACACCGAGTTTACTATAGTTAGGTGCTGTCCTGGAAGGGAGGGCAAGGGTTAATGCTTTTCCTGGTTCTTTAGTTTTTGGCGAGTTATCTCTAGGTCCTACCTACTGATCCTGCGCTATAAAAAAGAGACAGTGGCTTAGAAGAGAAAACCTCAGGCCGAGGAGCCCCTGAGAGAGAAGAGAAAAAGATCGGAAAGCCACACCCAGGAGTATGACCAGAATGTCATCTGCTGCTGCCAAAACAGAGAAAGTCCTCTGTACTCAGGGTTCACCATGAAAACACCAGCTGCTGGGAAATGCCACTGATAAACCTTTAGCACATGGACTCTACCTTTTGCAGGTACAGTTAGGTCCGTATACAGTATATTTGGACAGGCACAATTTTAGATTTTTCAGGTATTTATCAAAATATATTCAAGCTATAGTTACATAATGGATATGGGCTGAAAGTGCACACTCTCGGGTTTAATTTGAGGGTATGTACATCCAAATTGGAGGAAGGGTTTAGGAATTACAGCTCTTAAGAGTAGCCATCCCCCCTTTCTCAAGGGACCAAAAGTAATTGGACAATTGAATCAAAAGCTGTTTCATGGCCAGGTGTGGGCTACTCCTTCATTATTTCTTCACCAATTAAGCAGAGAAAAGGTCTGGAGTTTATTGTAAGTGTGGTATTTGCATTTGGAATCTATTGCTGTGAACCTACATCATGCGTTCAAAGGAGCTGTCCATGCAAGTGAAACAGGCCATTGTAAGGCTTCAAAAACTAAAAACAAATCCATCAGAGAGATAGCAGCAACATTAGGAGTGGCCAAATCAACAGTTTGGTACATTCTGAGGATAGAAGAATGCACTGGTGAGCTCAGCAACATAAAAATGCATGGACACCCATGGAAGGCAACAGTGATGGATGATTGTAGGATCCCCTCTATAGTAAAGAAAAACTCATTCACAACATCCAGACAAGTGAAGGACACTCTCCAGGAGGTGGGTGTATCATTGTCAAAGTCTACAATTAAGAGAAGACTTCACGAGAGCAAATACAGAGGGTTCACCACAAGGTGCACACCAATCATAAGCCTGAAGAATAGAAAAGCCAGATTAGACTTTAACAAAAAACATCTAAAAAAGCCAGACCAGTTCTGGAAAAGCATTCTTTGGACGGATGAAACTAAGATTAATCTGTACCAGAATGAGAGGGAGAAAAAAGTGTGGAGGAGGCTTGGAACAGCTCATGATCCAATGCACACAATGTCATCTGTAAAACATGGTGAAGGCAGTGTGATGGCATGGGCATGCATGGCTTCCAGTGGCACTGGGTCATTGGTGTTTATTGATGATGTGACAGAAGACATAAGCAGCCAGGTGAATTCTGCAGTGTTTAGAGATATACTGTCAGCCCAGATTCAGCCAAATGCAGCAAAGTCAATTGGACGGTGCTTCACAGTACAGATGGACAATGATTCAAAACACGCCGCAACCCAGGAGCTTTTGAAGGAGAAGAAGTGGAATATTCTGCAATCGCCGAGTCAATCACCTGATCTCAACCCAATTGAGCAGGCATTTCACTTGCTGAAGGCAAAACTAAAGGCAGAAAGACCCACAAAAAAATGAAAACAGCTGCAGTTAGAGCCTTGCAAATCATCAGAAAAGGAGGAAACCTAGTCTTTGGTTATGTCCATGGGTTCCAGACTGCAGGCAGTCATTGCCAGTAAAGGATTCTCAACAAACTATTAAAAATGAACATTTTATTTATGATTATATTCAATTTTCCAATTATTATTATTATACAGTATTATTAATAATAATAATAATAATTGGACAATTTAATATAATCATAAATAAAATGTTCATTTTTAATAGTTTGTTGAGAATCCTTTACTGGCAATGACTGCCTGCAGTCTGGAACCCATGGACATGACCAAAGACTATTACTTTTGGTCCCTTGAAAAAGGGGGGGTGGCTACTCTTAAGAGCTGGAATTCCTAAACCCTTCTTCTAATTTGGATATACCCTCAAATTAAACCTGAGAGTGTGCACTTTCAGCCCATATCCATTATATAACTATAACTTGAATATGTTTTGGTAAATACCTGAAAAAAACTAAAATTGTGCCAGTGTCCAAATATATATGGACCTAAATGTATGTCAGGGCAGCACTGAATTAGGAGTAGGGACATATGAATAATCCTATATTGGACTTTGAGATGTTCATTCTGCACTTTTCCAAGTAAAGCTTTGAAACTTTGTTCCCGCCTGGTCTGAAGTTACTCAAAGGGGTGTAATGTAAGTAACCAGCACCTATAGTTTAATGTTTGGGTCATGTAACACATTGGGGTATGAAGACAACTCCGCAAGAGTTAATACAGTGTGAAGTGCAAGTCTGTGGTTACCGATGGTAATGGAAGTTTAATATGCAGCCTCTTGGAAACGTGTACCTGTTATACGTGGAACTGCCTCTAGCTGCAAGGAAGATGATGTCAGCACTCCCTACACCGCTTTCTGTCTCCCACAGCAACTGTAGCGGAACTGCACCGCAGAGATCTTCATTCTCTACAGAGCTACAGAAGTTCAAGAGTTAAAGTGAAGTGCATGTTGGAGCTATGTGCATGGCAGGGCCCCATGCTGCTACTGGAACCAGTAGTGGAAAAACGCTGGCCCTGTGGCTGTGGTCTGTGTTTGGCATGACCCACCTTATTGCACGATACAGTGGGAAGATGTACATTGAAATGAGGACCCGAGAGTTAACTTATGGCGCAAGTGTACATGGTGTACATTCATCCCAAATAGTAAAGGTCTGTCTTAAGGTTGAGTATTCCCCGACGGCAACCTCAGCCTTGTCACAGGGCATTGGTGAAAACAGCAGATTGAAGGTACCCTATATGTGTTATGACAGGACGAGACTCTGTCACTGTGAGAAGATAGGAAAATGGGACACAGGATTTAATTTAGGGTGATTGCGACATTACAGACTAGTGTTTTTGCGCAGGGAAAGCTGTGGATTTAGCTTTCTCTGGATTCTACAGCTCTGGATTGAAACATTTAGCCCCTGGTCACATCGGGTGCAATTTGGCATGCGATTTGCATGCCAGGCGACTTGCAAATCATATGCCAAGTCGCACCCTACTGTTCGCTATCAGAGCAGTCATATCGAAGCGGTTCCGACTTGGTTGGAGCCGCACCGATTTCTAAAGTAGTTCATGCACTACTTTTGTTGCGATTTACATAGACATCTGTGTCAGATGTCTTGCAAATCACACCTGAAATCGGCAGGTCACCCGATTTTGAAATCGTGCGACTTCGCTGTAAGTCTGATTTCAGAATCGGCTTTGATGTGACCGGGGTGTTAATCCTGTGTCCTGGTTTTGCTATACACCTGCAATCTGGCTGCGTACACAGGTGTGTAGTGTTGTTATATAGTCAGGTCTGAGCATAGCTCAGTGTTCCCAGTTGGAGACTGCTCTCAGTGGGTGACACAAAACCTCTCACTGAGGGGGTCAGAGGGCCCAGCCAGAAGCTAAGAGACAAAGGTCTTAGTTCCAGGAGTCAGGTCAGTTCCTATCGTGGTGTCAGGAGAGTCCCAATCCATGGGCGAGAGGTGGACCATACAGCAGGGTGTTGTGACTAAAGGCTGGAGAGCCAAGTATCCAAGAGAGCTGGACAACACAGTCTAAGAGACTAGTAAGGGGTGCACCATGGTACTG